TTAATTATTTATACCATCACAGTATCTAATGAGTGCATAATATACATTGTGTATGTTAATTTTTTATACCATCATAGTATCTAATGAATGCACAATATACATATTGTATGTTAATTATTTATACCATCACAGTATCTAATGAATTCATAATATACATAATGCATGTTAAATATTTATACCATCACAGTATCTAATGAATGCCTAATATACATAATGTATGTTAATTATTTATACCATCACAGTACCTAATGAATGCCTAATATACATAATGTATGTTAATTATTTATACTATCACAGTATCTAATGAACACATAATGTATGTTAATTATTTATACCATCACAGTATCTAATGAAAGCATAATGTACATAATGTATGTTAATTATTTATACCATCACAGTATCTAATGAATTCATAATATACATAATGCATGTTAAATATTTATACCATCACAGTATCTAATGAATGCCTAATATACATAATGTATGTTAATTATTTATACTATCACAGTATCTAATGAACACATAATGTATGTTAATTATTTATACCATCACAGTATCTAATGAAAGCATAATGTACATAATGTATGTTAATTATTTATACCATCAGAGTATCTAATGAATACATAATATACATATTGTATGATCATTATTTATTTGGTGTTGTCAATTGTTTATTTTACTGAGCTACATTCAACACGGATATCATTCAAACACAGTGTATCCTACTATTCTTACAGATACACAATATTCAAAACGTGTATGATCACAGTTATGTTCAAGCTAATACCGACAATAATAACGATAATCTGTGCCACTCATTATGAATGATTCATGCTTTAGTACATACCGACATGCCATCTAAATGGAATATCATCTCAAATACAATATAAAAAGGAGTCAGATAAGATTAATTTTGCCAAATAATTGTTTGGGGATGCAATATCGCTGAGAACATGTAAATTTCTATAGTTTTGTTTGATGATTTATCATGACAATATTGTAAAATACTGTTCTTTTAACACACAATTGTGCGTTCGTTCAAAGAAACAATGAAATCAGCATAAATACTAATAAGCATGTACACTATTTAATTGGTACGTACAAGTTTTGATTTTGAATCAAACGAATACTTTTGTGAGACATGCAAACACATCAATTTTTAGTTCCTGATAAACTATTGTTCGGTTTGGACTTCAATACGGAGTATCAAATAGCAAATATATGTCTTTAAAGTGAATAAACCTTACCCGGGTGTATACCAGGCAGCTGTCTTTTAGACAATTCAGTCCCACCAAGATTGTAGTTTTCTACAGCTTCCTCTAAAGACATTAGTGTTATCTGTATATAAATAACATGCAATCACTGATATTAGCGTTGCTTGAGATCGAAAAAACACCTCCAGGCTCAGTAACAATCTTGTGTCATTTTTTCCACGACCTTTAACTATACGCACTTAACTATACGAAAAGTGTAATGAGAATGCAATGCCATAGTACTAGCTCGCCAAATATTAGCCTGAATACCCAGTTTCCAAATCAAAGATATTTATTTGGAGAAGTCGGGATCTCTCCAATATTTCGAAGTTTGATGTAACTTTTAGTCATTAATACTCCAATGTGCACTTTCAGATCACTCCTCCATTAAACTTTCTATTCGGGTAAGAGAGTCAAAACGTGGATGGTAGTACTTTATGGATAGTATCGCTTCATAACTACTACACGTTTTTGATTAATACACAAATTCGTTCCGTGGCTAGATGAGCGCAAAGATGTTACAATTACAATTTACAAGTTGAATATAAATATATTATTGATGGGTCGATAGGTGCTTGAGAGTTTGAAAAAAAAGTATTTCTTTAGTTTAGAAAAAATAATTATTATAGGTCGCAATTTGCCAGATTCAAAACCGCTGGATATATTGGCCTGGGTTAAGCATTTTAAGTTTTTTTTTGGCGCTAAAACACTAAAAGCCCTACGTAATGTCTTGAAAATAAACGTGTGAGAGAAACGTAGTGTTTGCGGCTTTGTGTTCGTTTATGCATGGCAGGCAAAGATGATCCCAGCCCCAAGTTTTTCATTGCGTTTTAGTCACTAGGGGCGATGTATTCGCCCAGCAGAAAAATAGAAAACACCCCAGCAGTCGACACCAAGGTTCGATCAACGATTATTTTTTCAACATAAGAACACATATAAAGACACTATCAATGAAAAACGAAAGCGATTACTTTAAAATATCGTTAACATCGCCATCATCATAGGCGAAAATATAGTAGAAATAAGGTAATAATCGGAGTATTACATTTGTAGTTTGTTTTGATCTATTAGTTTAGCGAACTAAGCGGTTTTATCAGGCAAGGTGTACGTCACTGTCTGAAAAATTCAATCGCTAGAAAAATGGCATAAATTCAATGCTTTTAATGTAAAACGAGCACCGTCTCTGAAGTAAAAAATAGTTTAGAATTACAGTTTTCGTTATCAAATTATGCGTTGAACAGAATGCGAAATGATTGGCCACGGCTGAGATATATCCACCACATTTATTTACCAGTGTTCCATTTGGTCAACCGCTCTGTCAATTAAAATAATCATAGAAAATGCCCTCCCCCGGAAAATTACAGACGATTTATTAGATTGAAGAAAGAGAAAATAAGGAGCATGTATTGGTAGCAAGACACCCGTTATCTCGTTTAAATGTCATCTTCAATTCAACAAATAATTTCCACTAGATACCGGAATGAACACACAGGGCTGGACATGTAATATTAGTATACTAGTACGAAAGGTTCTAGCTGCAAATGCCTGCATTTGAAAGAACACGCAATGGAAAGCAAGATGATCCATGTCCGATTTCTTCTATATGAGTTAAAGAGAGCATGTTCGACATTGTCCGAAAATGAGATGCTCATTTGTGCATTACGTTTTCACTAACTTTGGCGTCTCACTTCTGTAGTATTTTCTTTGTCTGAAGGGAGTCAAATGATAGCGTCAGTTAGGCATAGCTTCTATGTTCTACTGTAGAACAAATACAATATATGCCGTACCTCAGTCGACTGTGCAAGCCCTGGCGAAAACTGATATTCGACCACAACAGATTTGTAATTTAACTGATCATAAAATATCCTTAAAATTTGAACAGTTGTACTACCAGTATCAAGGAATGACATCTACGTTCTTCAGATCTCATTAGTCGAGCTATGCCTAAGCCTGGGACTTAAAAGCAATTTTGTTTTCTACCAAATATTTTTTTTTTCAATCATCGATCATCTGAACCCTCGACTCCCGACAAAAACATGTACTGTGTTTGTACATACAGTATATAGTAAACTCATCAGCCATGGTCATTACAGAAATGAGCAATTTATTAGGTTGTTATGTATTGCTGTTAAAATAAATAATTGTAGCTATTGTTCCATTAAAAGGTAATTTTCGTATATTTTATTTGTATATTCATGGGACGCCTACAGATTTTCCCAATTACGACACTCGAAAAAAGGCAATATGTACAAAACATATTTGACTATCTCATAGATTTGCTTCAATTCAAGTTTAAAAAGTTTAAACAGAGTTGCATCTCCACTTTGATCACGAAAGAACAAACTCCTTCTGAAACTATGAACTTATAGAGTAATATTTTCAATAATTCTAAATAAAGCCAGAGCATGTGTGAAAATGGGGAATTTTAACTAGAATTTTTGCAACACATAGTTATTATAACATCTAGATAAAAATAAAACCATTAACTTACACCCGAATCAGTTCCGGTAACTTCTGCTTCCGCTTCCGCTCTTTTTTTCACGCTTTTTCCGTGTACATCATTACATAGCGATGCAATTATGACACATATCGAAAGAAATATAGCGATTTTCGCCATGCCGAACTTTGTCTGATATCTTCAACTAAATCAGAGTCTGTGCCTTCTATGTACGATACCAATGTTGATGATGATCTGGATGAATGCATTGTATTTATGATATTAAAGTTGTGACGTATTTAATACGCATGCTCACATATGTGAAAAGGAGAGGAACAATAAGAAACGAAAGCTAAAATATTGACTCACAACTAAAATGTCCACGTAAACGTCACATGACGAAAGTACGCGCCACATGTCACGCTAAAAGATAGTTCATGCTGTCAATTTAGTCAATTTATGTTGGAATTTTGAGAAATGGTGTCAGTATTAAAATATTGTGCAACATTGTTTTATTTTATTCCACTGCTTTCACTGTTCCCTTCAGTGTGGTGCACAATTCATAGCTTATTAATAAATATATATACTATTATATGCACGATGTGATTGCATGAGGAAAAACAGTGGAGGTACGATTATACTCACAAATCGGATTCCTAACCATAATATGACACATTCTGCTTAGTTCGCGTTAACATCCAAGACGTACTAATGTTTGGGGTTACGCAGACAGTCTGTATTTGCGTTCTGAAAATGTAATCAGAATCACATTGCCGCATCATACTAACTACACGCGGCACAGATATTTCGAACGCATTCGTCCCCAAGAAATCGATTTGTATCGTTTTTCCAAATTGGTACGCCAAATACAAATTATAATGGGTTTTTGCATTGGAATATTTGAGAACAGAGTTATCGTTTTACATATTAGGATACTTACGGAAGTTCTCTCTCTCTTGTGCGTTAATGAGACGTGATGAGTGATTGACGCCCATATAAATTATTGTTGAAGTGTCGCGAGTATATGTTTATATGTCATTTTTTTCTCGGTCAATATATGTGACATCATGCCAAATTGATCTTCGGGGTACCAAAGGGAAATGTATTTACTGGTATCTTTTTAAAATAGTTTTTTTTATGCCAAGTGACATTTTCGAACATCGAAAGCACAATCATTTGAATTAACACTGTACTATATCGCCTAGGTCAACCGGGTCATGGGGGATTTAGTATGTACAGACAAGACACATAAACAAGTACTAATACAGCGGGGATGTTACTTATGGTTTAAACAATGACAATTCAGTTTTGACTATATGCATATTATTTGCATAACCATAAACCATAGGACATGAAAATATCACGTTTAAAATGTTTCCTGTTATATATTTTCTAACATGAGACTGTTGAAAATTCGTCTGTAAAATCAAATCAAAAAACGACAATTGTTGAACTCTAAAGGTCATGCTATCTCTGTCAATGGACAAGCACAAAAACACAGGCACCATGCTGTGAGCAAATAACACTAATCCCAAAGATGGAAACACTATCATTATTTTCGAACACAAGCTGAAATATTTGACAAAAGGTATTACATGGTGTCATGTTTTTGATGATCGCATCGTGTTGGTTTTCTGCACGCTATTTTAACAAAAAAGTACTTGACAACCGGATACCACAAATATGTCAAAACGATATGAAAATGGCTTGACGATCAACTGTTTTGAACAATAATGTTGAACGAATTTCAGTTTGAGAAATATTGCAGAAGAAGTGAGCATCTGACAACGCGTGATTCTACTATCGACCCATTTGTGTGACCAGCCACGAGAAACACTTCTAATACCTAATATGGGTATTTTATATGGGGATTGTCACATTGCTGGATACTAATTCAAATTTACAGTATTAATGCGATCATGGTCATGATCGTCAACATTTTGGTATGGTTATATTCAATTAGGCTGTTTTTTTGAGAAAGCAATAACATTTTTTAGCATTGAAATATAATACTGTATCCGACCGTGTAAGCGTTTAGTGACCTTATCTCAGAAATCGTGATTTTTTAGGGAGTAGGCGCATAATTGAGCACACTCTCAAACATTGTTGAAATATTCCTGCCAGATTACCACTCACAACATGGACACCAACTTGGTTGAATACGGCACTTATAGGAAACCTCTATGATGTACTCACTGTGCATGAAAAATAATTTCACACAATTTTTAACACTGAAGTAAACAATTTTTGTTTCCCATTGTGATGATATAACCACCAACACCACTGCTGTTGCTATCATCGATAACTACTGGTAACTTTTTAGTGTCAGATTATACAAACATAAAATCCTCGGTTTATTGAAAATAAAAAAAAAATACCCAGGAAATCACAGCGAAATCGACACCGATATGCTGTTTTTAAACAACACGGAAAAATCAATCAAACTCTGCAATGCCATTTTGGTTACTTTGATCGAAAACCCTCTTGTCAGCTAGCATGCACCGGTAGTGATGTCACTTGTATTGACGTGCTCGGTGACCTCTTGCACTAAGACACTCTATGAATGAGGTATGCGATAGCCATTTTTGTGGATGATAAACGTCACTTTCATAAAACGGTCATATTGATTGAATCTTAATTGGCTCTCACAGTTTTTGTCTGTTTGACTTGAAATTTTCACACTATTTTGAGACGTCTTTACGAAAATGGTTTTATTTCTGAAATTCAATAACAAATGGTCATGCATACATGACATGCATATGTCAGACAAAAAATGTTTTACAACGTATAACAATCAGAATGTTATCATTTCATTGTTTTTATTTGCTTCAAAGCGAATATTGAAATTGAAACATGCTTTCATTAAATCTCTAGTACATACTGCTATTTATATTCTTGATGAATTGGTGTCATTATGGGAAAACGATATGAAAATGTCGTCTGATATGCAGCATTTGCTTTATCTCATTACTTTCGTAATGTTTTTAATATTTAGCTATCACTATAAATATTGATAAGATTGTCCTGTAGATATATATGAATACAATATGATATACCGAGGTAATGATATTTTAAAATATGGTTTGCGTTATTGAATGCATTGTTAAGACCAACGATCGCTTTCATGCGAGGATGAACTCATTGATGTGAACTGAAAATCGTCCGCTACAGCTGTAAATCTTGTGAGCTGATTCTGTACTGTGAACTGCGATTTGTCCGCTGCTGAAAAGCTGGTGAACTGACTCTGAATTAAAAAGTGAATAGTGATTCGTACGCCACTGAATGACTTGTATTTGTAGTGCCTAAGAATATGCGATGTAGATTAATATAATCAATGATACATACCATCGATATCCTGAATAAAATACAAGTTGATTTTAATAGGTTTCAGACTGAGTGTTTTATGACCAATTTATAGTACTTACATCCAATAATCATAATGTAATTTGTACAAAACAATTAATATACCATTCCTACACACCATTCCATTTTGACAGTCCCATTTCCATGGTAAATATTTACGAACGTTGCCATATCAGCAAGTTATCATATGCTACTACTTTCCGACATACACATGCATTTCTCTAGTGCCTGTAGAAATTGAAGTAACTGTACTTAATATGATTTAATGTTATCTAGATTGTTGATTCCACCTTTCCAAATTCCCAACTATTGCAGTAATTGCATTATTCTGTCAGTATCTCCTTCAGGTTGTGTATGGAGATCTATGGCCCTTTTGTTATTGTTGTAGGAATGTTTTGCGTTGTCTTCTTTGTCTGCTTTGCCATATTCCCAACTATTGTTAGTTTTAAAATGTTATTACTTAGTTAACTGTTTTAATAACATTGCAACTGGGTTTCAGTGTATTTCTATAGTCCCGGGGTGTTCAATCGTGTCACTACATCTGTCACCGTAGTTAGTTAAGTTACAGCGTGCCGTCATTTTGCATTTTCATCCTACCCTATTAGGAAATGCGAATTCCATATGGAATAATTACGCATGTATTAAAAACAAACATGGCTGCCATCAGGGTGACTGGACTGCACACAAAAAAGCTAGCTGATTCTGTTCTAAACATTTTGGATTTCGGCATTCCCATGATGCATTCTTGGAAGGAAAGATGTATAATAACAAGGCTATTACGAGAATACCTCAAAGCATGCACTCAGACAGTACACCATCACATCGACCTCAGCTGCGCGTCGGTCTATACTCCTGCTGTACTGTCTTCGTGCATATTTTGATGTATCCTCGTAATAACCTCATATTATTGCCGAAGACAGTGTTGTGATGTATGTTACATTGAAACTACTAGTATGTACTTTGCATGTAATACCATTTATGTAATTCTGCCACCTACGCTCAGACTGAGAAATTAAGTTACCCAGTAGTGGTGGTGGACAAGACAACATGGCGGCTATATCATTATTAGAGGTCCAAGCCCTTTCAGAGCTGGAGCCCTAATGTTATCGCTGGGATTTTTCTTCATCTTCTTCTTTCCTCTGCTTTTTTTTTGTTCAGCTCCTTTGAGAAAATGGCTGAACAGAATATTTTTCAAACTTGCTGTGCTGATTGGTGGTGATGTGAACATGTGCACTGAACTTTCTAAATTTGTATTGTCAACTGTCGTGGCCGCTATCGAGGGCCTAGGGCTTTCAATTTTTGTACTGTGTATAGTACTAATTGCAATAAATATCGCCAATAAAAACGGGAAATGGGCAATGTGTTGTATTGGTTCGATTGGGGTGAAAATTTGTATGTTCATTTTAGTCTTGAGGTACATTATTCCAACTGAATGGCACATGGATAGGTCCTGTGGCTGAGGGCTTCTAACTTCATTAATATGCAAAACTTTTATATCCCAAGCACTGTTGCAGTTAGGAAGATGAATCCTGTATTATTATGACAATGTTGAACAAGAGATTTGATTAAAATAACAGATGACGGTATATGGTCATGTGAGCTCATCAATATGCATAACTCTTATATCTAAAACACTGTTACAGTTAGGAAGATGAATCCTGTGTTATTATGACAATGTTGAACAAGATATTTGATTAAAACAATAGATGACCGTGTATGGTCATGTGAGCTCATTAATATGCATAACTGTCATATATGTAACATTGTTGAAGAACGGAACATGCAACCAGTGCCATAATGAAGGCATCAAACAAAAGATGTAACTGGCATAAGAAATGGCCATATATGATCATGTAACCTCATCAATATGCATAAGCAATATACCCA